TCAAATGATTAAGAAACTTTTAAGCTCAAAAAATGACCTATAAATTTTTTTCAATTGATTCCATGGCTTTATAAGCATAATTTGAACTTGATCCTTAAAGCAATCTTGTATATAACGCCATTTGTGATATGGTACAAAGAGAATCAACCCGAAATGATGAAGATTGAAAGAACTATGATCCTAGAAAGTTGAACAAAAGTCATGTGAATTTAGGTCAAAGCCACAAAACGACCTCGAATGTCCTCAAAATTTTGATGGCCTTCTACACATAATTAGCTCTCAACTTGAAAAGAGAAATTAGAGATGATGTCAAGGAGATTCATACACTCGAAGAATCACTCTAAAATACTGAACAATGAAGAAGTTATGATCATTTGAAATCCAACTTTCAAATATTGACTTTCAGTCAACCAACTTTGAATTAACTGCAGACTTTGTCTTTCTTCACAACCCGAAGCACTCTTAAACACACATGGACTTGAGGTGGTGAAATATTGATTAAACCATGTTCACACTTTTCAGAACTCGAGATTACTCATCGAAGAAAGCATAGAAATAAACACATGAACCTATCTCGAAGAATCTTGATAATTAAGAAACTAAACTCGCCTTAACCACGCTGGATGAAGCTTGAGGATAGCGTGACCTACGATTATAGATCACCACTTTGAAACACGGGCTTTTAGAAAACATCTTTGTCCTAAATAAACCATAACCCTAATCGGAGAGCCATCACCTTAATTCCTTGATTCGAGACCCTGTCTTCTAAAGGAAACAAAATAAACAAGACATATTTTTGGACTTTGGTTAGAGATCAGTAAAATATAAAACACATGTATACAAGATATACAATTAGGGCGCTTGGAAATTCCTCAAGAGCAAACGTAAAGATAATAAACAATAGAAGAAATACCCAAAACCTAATGTGTGATCTTGATGTATTGATAATATGATATGGTTGGATCTTAGGGGCAAAAATTGGAGTATAATAGAATGAAGACATGGGAGAAAAATGTGTAAATGAATATGGGAGAAATATGAAGTCAGAGTTGAAAGTTATGGGCTATTTAAAGGTTATGTTTGAAGATTCAAAGAAGAAGAATAAGAATTTGAAGAACAAACTGAAATCAGAGAGATTTTCTACAAATTTGAAGATGTTATATTTTGTTATCTCCTTTATGTTTAATGTTTACTTTATTCTGAAATGTTGATGTTATGTTAAAATTGCAGATGCAGTGAAATTGACAGGAATGCAACTAACGGTTTCTTATGAGTAAATTTATCTATTTGTTATTTCAGATTTTCAATTACAATTATTGTTTGAGTAGTTATTTGTTTGTTTTTTCATCTTTTTAAAGATGTCTGTATATAAGTAAGTTTAAGACGATAGTTTAAGTTGATAGTTTAAGTTGATAACATTAAGAGTTGGCCTTAAGAGTGTGAGAAAGCCCTAGAATTAAGCAGACAGATTAAGTTGAATAAAACTTTAATTACATAAACCTTACAGAAGGCCTTAATAGTTATATCTAAATCCTCTGGTTGAGAGAAAGTTAGACCAAGTATAATCTAATCCATCATCATCATCAGAACCGGAAAAAAAATCTTCTTCCTTTTCACCCTTCTTCTTCTTCTTCTTCTTCTTGATATCCTCTGCCTGAGAGCTCTCCTGGATTTCAAAAGTTCGGTTGCACAAGAGCATCTTATTTTCTCTTTTTGATTCTGATGAGGGTTTTACATAAGAGAAGCCTCTTTCTCTCGGCATTGTTAGAAGCTTCAACAGAAGTACTCATTTTGATTCTTCTTCTTTTCTGATTTCTTTGGATGAAGTTATTTTGTGTTTTAGTTCAAAGAGTAATTCCGTTTTTATATTGTTTCTTCTGATTCTTCATATTATCTTATCCTTGAAAGTCTAAAAGCCAAAAGATTTTACGCATGTCAAATTTTCTCATTATTGGTTATTTAATTCCTCGAGTTGTTAAATGATTATTGATTCTTTTTCCCTTTATTTGATATTCCTTCTTACGTATATTTTGATGTAATAATGTGTATTTAATGGAATTGTGTCATTGATTTAATACAAGTTTTAATATCAATTCCTAAATAGTGTATTATTGATTTTGTTATGATATGAATGACATTTATTTATAAACATCATCACAACGGTTATTTGTCACAATCGTTGTTATAAGGCGCACGCTTTCCTGTTTTCTACAACAGTCACTGAACCGTGATTGAAAGTAACAAATATACAACCACACGCAATATAACAACGTCTGGACCTGCATGATTATATATCTTTTTCAACCGTTGTTAAAGGCCTTTTTTATAGTAGTGCAAGCTTAGTATGATGTAAATGTATGTGCGTAATTTTAGGTTGGTTGTAAATAATGTATGTGTTGCCTTGTTGAAAACATGTGTATTCTGTCACAAAATGTGTATAAGTTTTTGTCCAAAAATGTGTATATGTGCTACCTGACAGCATACCAAGGTAAAATCTCTCTCAACTGAGATAATAACACCCATTTGTAGGAATGACATTGGGTATCTATGGACACAGACAATAGTTCTCTGCTATCCACCTTGTTTAGTAATTTTAATACATGTACCTGTTCCATACATGTACGTGTATCTGTAGATTTTGAAACATCCATATATATTTACGGATATCCATGGATACTATTATTTAAATATATTTTTAAAAAAATTAATATAATAAATTTTAGTTTTATCTCTTTTAAAGACAAAAAAATAATCTTAAATTTAATATATAATAAGAATAAAAAAAATAAATCACATTCATTTTATTTCTTCTTTTATCAAATAATTATACTAGATTCAATAAAATAATAATAATTTCATATTCAACAAAATAATAATAATTATAATAATAATAATAATAATAATAATAATAATAATAATAACAATAATAATATTATTAATAATAGTTTTATATTTAATATAATAATAATAATAATAATAATAATAATAATAATAATAATAATAATAATAATAAATTTAGATTAAACAAATTAATATTAATAATTTTGCTAATTATTGACAGATATGAATACTCATGAATATGGATACCATCAAATTCGTATTTGTGCCCGTAAAAAATATAAATAATTAAATATCTAATTATTTTGTCCGTGGATACCTATTAAATTATTCAATTCTTATTCGTTATGGATTTTATCCGTGAATATCCACGAATACGAATTTTTTTCCATCTCTAGTCATTTGTAGTAGTGTAATTGACATTATAATATATTTTTACACTTTTGATGCATATCAATTAAATTAATTTAAATTTTTTATATTATATATTTTCTAATAATTTGTAAACTTTTCTTTAAATATCAGTCCGAAACATAAAGGCAAATTGATTCTCAATAACTTGAGTCTCATTTTTTTCTCTCTATAATTTATCCAATTTTGTACACCCACTTTGTTCTAACTGATAGGAACTAAAATATTTCTTCCCCATTCATCAGACCTTTTCTTTAATCTCTATAATTTTTCACACTTTAATAAAAGTATGTTATCTAGTCCAATTGCCTTATTATTACTCATCCTTTTTAACATTTGTTTCACCTCTTATTTCTAAAACAAATATTAGTAATTACAATTTCAACACTCTTTTTTAATGATGAATTGTAGAGTGAGGTGAGATATCATATTCTCCAATTTTGGTGATTGTACAAATTCTATCTCTTACTCTCTTTGCATTTGATATGTTTTTCTTCTGCTTATTGTCATCAAAATTAAAATGTTTTTGAAAACAATTTCGTAGCCATTTAAACTTATTTATACAATCACCAAAATTGGAATGTTTTTTAATATAAAAATTTGTCTAAATTATCCTAATTTTACTAAGAATTCATGTTTTTTTAGTTGAAAAAAATTATGATTGAATAGATAGAATTTGTAAAAAAAAAATCCAAATTATGTTAAATAAATTTTACAAATGTGAACCTAGGGCATAATCTTTAGTCTTAACAATATAGATATTTTCTAATTGAACAAAATTTTATCATAGTTGTTCAAATTAAGTAAAAACCTTAATTGGATATCACGAAACATTTCACCATAAAAAAAATTCAAAATTTTGATTGAATATACTTTCTTGATTGTCTTAATTAAATAACAAAAAAATTATTTATATTTTATAAAAGAAAAAATTTAGTACATTTTCTTAAGTGTAATTTATGTTTTTTTTTCTAATGAAAATATGACAAGTGTATATTTTTCTCTAAATATTTTAGAAAAAAATATGAACCACACCTATAAAATTATATTCAAATATTTTCTTTTTATAAATTTTTGAAATGAATATTAAGAAATAACTTAAATAAAAAACTGTCACTTTAAAATCTATATCCAAATGACTTAAAATCACAACTCTTAAAGAGTATTTTCTTAACTCTCAAACTTCAGCAACATTTTTATCAGATACAAACAATACAGCTTTTTTTAGGTTGGTAATAAGTTATCTGTAGCATCTCTCAACTGTTATTTCCGAACAGTCAAAGTTGAAATCTCAAGAAATCAGAAACCCTATAAAATGTTTATCATTACTAATATGTAAATTACTAATAAAAAAAATCAATATTACTATTAATTAATCAATTGAACCATGTACCAATTCTAAAATCTGATGAATAATAGAAGAAGAAAACTCACTACAAAATCAAATTAGACAAAAGGGAAGAAGACTTACCTCCTTTCATTCCTTGCAAAAGAAAGCACCATTATCATCAACAAGTGAATCACTAGGGTTTGTTTTTCTTCACATGAACACTTCCACAGTAATTATAATAAACTCACTTTATATTTATATTCATAAATCATAATAGTATCAAAATCAAACATCAATCTTTAATTTTATTAAAATCATCATTTATTGAGTATACTAAATTCATTCCAATCAAAACAATACCAACAAAAAAAATTAGAATCAAAGAAACCTGCAATAATTAAAAATAAAAATAAAAATTTCTTCAAAAATCAAAGAAGTTAGGATCATTGTAATCCCATAAATCACTTGTCAAAGGCCACATAGAATTTGGAGAACCAACACAAATACCTTCTGGATCTGGATCCACCACTGTTCCATCAAAACCTGATGACCCCATCAAACTTGAATTGCTCATAATTCCCTCAACCACATCACAATTCTGAACATTATTATTAGTATTCTTCTGTTGCTGATTCAAAACAGCTTCTGCATGTTGTTCTTGATCATTATAAACACATTGTATATTCTGGTACGAGGTAATTGACCTAACAGAAGTCGAACCGCCACTTGCATGTTGCTCAAAATCTTGTATCTGTTGTTGATTATATTGTTGCTGTTGCTGTTGAAGTTGCACTTGCACCAGTTGTTGATGATGATGATGAATGCTATTATCGAAAACCGGTTGTTGTTGATGATGCTGCTGATGGTTGAAGTTATTGTAGACACCAAAAGGTACGAGATTATTGTAAAGAGAAAAACCAGAAGGACGAGGAAGTAAAGGACGGAGAGTATTTCCAGAAGTAGAAGACGAGTTACGGTTCAAAGAAGATGAATCATTTTGAGAAGAAGAATTAGAAGAAGAACCAGAGGATTGAAGATTGAGCTGAGCCCTAGAACCGTAGAGAATAATAGCAGCACGATCATAAGCTTTAGCAGCATCTTCAGCAGTTGAGAAAGTGCCAAGCCATTTACGAGTACGTTTACGAGGCTCACGAATTTCAGCAACCCATTTACCCCAACTACGTTGTCTAACACCACGGTATCTGAATTTGTTGTTATCAGGTCCACCTTTACCTTTGCATTTACGATTCTTAATAGTGCTGCTGTTGTTGGTGTTGGTGTTGTTGCTACTGTTGCTGTTATCAGTGCTGTTGTTAGATGTTTCGCTTGGAGTGGTTGTAGCAACGGTGATGGCGGTGGGTTTGGTTTCTTGAAGATGATGAAGAGGTTGGTCCATTTGTGTGTGAGAGAGAGAGAGAGAGAGTGATGAAAAGAAAGAAAAGATGAAGGTGACTGCTAGGTTACCTCGTTCAGTGTTATTGTTTGTGTTACTAGTGATGAAATGAAAGTGGTTTGAAGGTTAATGGTTGAATAGGGCGGTGGTAGAGAGAGAGAGAGATTGCTTTGCTTTTGGAAGTGAATAAATTAAAGGAAGAGATAGCACATTGGTTTTGGAATTTGGAATCATTTATAAATTTCTTGATTTTTTTTAATGTTTTTATTGACTTTGTTTGTCATCGAGGAAGGTGTTTAGCAATAAAGTTAATTCCTAGGTAACTAAAGTACTCCTATTTCATTAATATAAGATATTATCCCCTAAGGTTCAACATGTTTTACTTATACAAGATTAGTAATGGTGGTAATGTTTGACTACTAGTGCTGAAACTGCTGATATGCGCATGCAAGAGCATGTGACATTATGAATAGTGCTGTAAAATGGATTCATACGATCTACTTGCTATACAACTCATTCGACTAACACATGTCAATGGATATATTGGGTTGATCTAGTTGGTTCTTGTGCTGCTAAAATTGAATTCAATTTAGTTTTTTAAATGTGTTATACAATTTGATGATGTGACTCGTATTTAAATATTTTTATTGTAGAATAAGAGATGAAATGGACAATACAAGTACATACTAGTACATAAATTAGCATTCATGAATTTCACACGAGAGAATTTGTTTAAGCATAGTATCCTTCTTGATCTTGTTGGTATCGTTTATGTTTTTCTAAAGTTGACATCTCATATTTTTGTTTTCTACAAGGTCTTGATTAGTGTATCTATGAGAAACAATCTATAAGGGTGAATTAAGATTGTCTGTTTTTTTTTTTAATTGCAATAACTCTTAACTTGTTATTTTTTCAGAAATTATCAATATGATATGTTTTTAGAATGAGAAAAAAGAGTATATATTGATTGTTGTTAAGTCACGTTTTAATTTTTAAAATATTGATATGACACGGCGGAATAAGAAAATCTTATTAGATGATAGTGAAAACAAGTTTACATTATTGGTGCAATATCTTTAATCTCTTTTAGGATAACTTTAAAGTACTTAAGTAAAATGCATAAAAGTAAATAACATCAAATAATTATATTAATTCTTCTTATAATCAAAAGTATATTTAGTCCTTTTAAAAGGATTTTTCATTATTGTTATAACTCTGTACAAATCTCTAATTAAGATTAAATATCATAACTTTTCTTGTTGAAATATTAAATTAAATTTGTTAAAATATTATATTTGATTAGATTTAATATTTAAATATAATCTAAATTGTGTACACCCAAACTCAATTAGGGTTGTATATAAATCGTCCTAGTCCATATCATTATTTGTACAATTCAATAATATAAATCCTTATTTCCTTTATTATTTTCTCTTCACTAAAAGTGCCTCACGCACTAACAAATTGGTATCAGAGCCTTTGATTCGAAAAAGGGACCGAAAGAAACTTGTATCAAAATCCGACCAAGAAGTGGTGCGGTACAAGTGGGGGCGTATGAGATGAGGATTATCGAAAGAAAAAGAGTGCAAGACTCGATACAGGCTCTACAAGTTCAGTCATGGAAAAGTATTGTGGTTCCAACAAATTCAAAGGAAAGTTTGACAAGACTCAGGACAAGAAGTCTTGGTCGAAACCGCACAAACATCAGGTCGAAGATGGAGCTTCTGAATCCTCGAAAGGAGGAGGAGGAAACTATCGAAAGAGCAAAGAAGATAAAAAAAGATGTGTAGTGCTATAACTGTGAAAAGTGGGGTCATGTATCCAAGAATTATTGGTACAAAAAAGATAAGGGATCGACAAGCAAGGACGAAGGAACGACCCTTGCACGCTAAGATTCAGATGATTTCGAAGGTGGTACGGTGGGTATGGTTGTAGTTGCAGATAACCATGTCGAATACAATATCTGGTTTCTCGACTCAGATTGCTCGAACCATATGACTGGTCGAAAGGAGTGGTTGGAAGATTTTGACGAGTCGAAGAAGAAGAAGTTAATGACATTCCCGACACAGTCGAAGTCGAAGAGTTTGTGGAAGTCAAAGAAGAAACAATTGTTGACATTCCCGACACAATCGAAGTCGAAGAGGCTGTGGAAGTCAAAGAAGAAGTAGTTACTGATATTCTCGACACAGTCGGAGTTGAAGAGGCTCTCGAAGTCAAACAAGAAGCAGTTGCTGACATTCCCGACACAGTCAAAGTCGAAGAGGTTGTGGATGAAACAAACCAAAGACCTCAAAGAAATAGAATTCTTCCAACAAGGTTTCATGATTATGAAGTGGTGGGTGATGATGAAGTCACACATGATGAAGAATTAGTTAATTTTTCTTTACTTGCATGTGTTTAACCAATTTACTATAGCGAAGCTTTGAAGACTAAACAATGGAAATTAGCTATGGTCGAAGAGTTACAGGCAATCGAAAGAAACAATACATGGGAGTTAGTCGAATTTCCAGCACATACAAAAGCTATCGAAGTAAAGTGGATATTCAAGTTGAAACATAATGTTGATGGCCCGATAGCAAGACATAAAGCAAAATTAGTAGCTCAAGGATTTCTTCAAATAGAGGGACTCGACTACTCTGAAGTATTTTCTCCAGTAGCAATATTGGATATTGTTCGACTAATGGTAACATTGGAATACAACTAAGGCTAGTTGACATTTCATTTAGATGTGAAATCGGAATTTATGAATGGTCCTTTAGACAAAGAGGTCTATGTAATATAACCTCTAGGGTTTGTGATTCAGAAGGAAGTGAGTAAAGTATATAAGTTTCACAAAGTGCTCTATGGCCTCAAGCAGGCACCTAGGGCATGGAACAAGAAGATCGACTCATACTTAGTCGAATTGGGATTTGTCAAATGCAAATTTGAGTATGTGTCTATGTTCAGGTTGTAGCACAAGATATAACCATCATCTTCTTATATGTCGATAACTTGCTAGTAACTGGAAATAGCTTGGAGAACTTGTCGAATTTCAAAGAGTTGATGATGAAGGAATTTGAAATGTATGATCTGGGAAAATTGTCTTATTTCTTAGGTATGGAATTTCAAATGTTGAAGCAAGGTATGGTGTTAAATTAAAGGAAGTATGTCAAAGAAATACTCAAGAGATTCAAAATGGATGATTTTAATCATGCATCCTCCCCTATCGAACCAAATTTAAAATTGGAGAAGAATGTAGAGAAAGACAAAGTCGATGTAATTTTGTTCAAGCAAATTGTGGGATCTCTGAGGTATGTGTGCAACAGTCGACCTGATATAGGTTTCAGTGTAGGATTAATAAGCAGATATATGAGTGAACCAAGAGTGTTACATATGAAGTCTTTAAGAAGAACCCTTAGATATTTGAAGGGCTCGATAAACTATAGAATACTATTTTGATGAGATTATGAAGACAAAGAAACAATAGTTGATTGTTTTCAGATGCTGATTGGTGTGGAGATAAGGAAGATCGAAGAAGCACAGGTGGATATTTCTTTCAAGTATTTGGTGAAGCTGACTATATAGCGGGATCTTATGCTACATGTCAAGAAATTTGGATCAGGTCTGTACTTAAAGAAATAAAGGTCGAAGTGAAGAAACCTCTTGTATTTCAAATCAACAACAGGTCAGACATAAATCTGGCAAAGAATCCAGTTCTACATGGAAGAAGTAAACATATTGAAGCAATGTTTCTCTTCTTGAGAAAAAAGGTAAATCAAGGTGAACTTGAAGTAATGCATTGCTCGAGTGAAGCACAGTTGGCCGACATTTTCACCAAAGGATTGAAGATTGAAAAATTCTTGAATTTGAGAAAGAAATTAGGAATAGTTCAGATTGACTATTTTTGAGGATGTTCGATAAAATTGGATTATAGGAGTGTGTTGAAATATTAAATTAGATTTGTTAAAATATTAGATTAGATTTGATTTGATTAGATTTGATATTTAAACATTATCCAAGTTGTGTAGACCCAAGCCCAATTAGAGTTGTATATAAATAGTCCTAGTTTGTATCATTATTTATACAATTTAATAATACAAATTCTTATTTTCTTTATTATTCTTACCTCACTAAAAGTGCATCATGCACTAACATTTCTAACATAAACAACACAAAGAAAAACCATACATTCTTTGTACAACACAATAACTTGTCACCACAAATTTGATGACTAAGTTATAATACAGTTTAAAATAATTTGAGTAAGTTTGTTCTGGAAACAATTTTGAAGATAAATAATATATGTTTTCTCTTTCTCTTGAACACAATTCAAACATATATACTTAGGTGTTCAAAATGTTTGAATGAGAAAATTTAAATGGTATAAAAGTTATGCACAAAGTTTCATTGTCAAAGTTTTATGAAAACTTGAAAAACTAGTTTGAATTGTATAAAATTTGACGTGTGAAATAGGTAAATTGTATTTCTGATGTACGTACCCTTATATACATCATAAGACAACTCTTTGAAGTATTGTATGAGTTTAAAACGGATCCATCAAACCTTACACCTTTTTACATATTTTTTAAGATATTGAGAGATATTGAGATCAACTATGTGATAGTAGTACCACGGGAACTGTGTCATACACATAGAGATTTACATTTCATTGCATGTTATAGTCGATGTGAAACTTATATAAAAATATAAATACATGTTCTATTAACAAAAAAATACATATTCACACCCCCAAAGTCAAAGTGGGAGGTTGACAGACGCTTAGACTGATCCGAAAATCATCAAAGCGAATTATAAGGAGGCCCATTTCTTGTTTAAAACAATCTTGTTTGTTTAAAGCCCAATGATTAACATCTGGCCCGTTTCTCTTTTTTCTTTTTTGAGACACCTGTTTGTTATTGATTTTTTGATTTGGTTTATTTTGTTAATTTTGAAGAAAAAAAGATTGAATTGGCAGGCCCAAAACAGTTTGGCCCGTTTCAGTTTTTTTTAAGAATATTTTTATA